GTTTGCCAAACTTAGCCTTTTGATCCGATTACTAGTCAGGTTGTTATATTATGATAAACCGTTTTTGTAATAACCCAACTTCTTGTTAATAAAAATGATGTATCTCCTTTTATTATTCCATTCATTTTCAACGAATACGTTCGACGTTAAGTCGAAAAGTTTATTTGGTTAATTATTAACCGAGTCAAATTCGATAATTAATTTTTGAACCGTTTATTTTTATAAACGGACATTATTAATCGGGATCAATTATTAATAGTTAAGCATGTTCGGAATTAAGTTCAAAGTTATAACCAAGCCAAGTCATGAATGCAGACAAGGTGCACTAAGCACGCACGCGTAAACGCATGCCGTGCGTACGACTACGCATGCAAACGCGCACCGCGCGCATCGTCGCGCACTGCACATCGCGCGCGTCGTTAAGTTCCTTAAGCACTCGCTTATATTACACTAAACACTTGATCAACCAAAGCAAGTCCCAAATCCCCTTCCTTAAGATGGTCGTCCAAGATAAGTGTTGGGAGTGCAAGTGGGTGGTGAGTCACCTCCTTGCTTGCACACATGGCACGACACGGACGCACGGGCGATGACTAAGCCCGTGCATGGCCGCCACCTCGGCAATGACTAGGAAAAATCCGCCCAACACTTCAGCCATGCTTTGGACACTTGTAATCAAAAGAAATCACGTCATCCATCACCTCTTTTGACCCATCTTCACCCATGGTTTTCACCATCAATAAATAACCGAGCTAATACGTCCCTTCCATGCATTTCATGCACTAGACTTAAGCCAACTTCAGCGTACTAAACGAGAGAAAATAGTGAGGAAAATATTTTAGAAAAATCACACAAAAATAGCTAAGCATTGCCGAAGCAAGGGAGAAGCATAAGGATACCAAACCGAGCACCGAACACGCACGCACATCATCGTACATTCTTCGACCAAACTAAAGGGTATACATTCCTTTACCCTATTTTTATATAGTTAAGTTCATGTTAACAAGATCATGTCGATGTCATGTTGTTCTGTCCAAAATTTTTAGTAAAAGTGACCTCGGAGGTGCTATATAAGCCCTCCCGAGTGATTTCAAAATCGAACCGGCAAGTCCCGAGTAATATATTTATTTTCAGTCATTTTAAGTCAAAACATGATCAGTCATATGTGGATTGCTGGAAAAAGTAGTCGGACGGCCGGCGAAATGCCGACCGTGATGCCTACCGCGCACAGCTGCGCGCAGGCGCGTCTGGCAAGCCCAGCGAGTACGCAGGCAGCGTCCGTGCACCCAGTAATGCATACGCGTGCTCAGTACTCGCAGTCCAGCCCTTGCGATGCCGCAGTCGTGCGCATAGACGTTCGGCAGCGCATGTCCGTATTCACCCGCGTACGCCACACCGCAGCACGCACCTAGCAGCGTGTTCTGCGATGTTAGTACGCACGCCAGCAGCGTACCACGCACGCTGGCCAGCCACCACGCACGCCAGCACGCCCACCAGCGTGCCAGCGATGCTCAGCGGGCCTCGGCGTTGCCCGGTAGCACGCCCGAGTACCCAGTCAACCCAGCACGCGTAGCCCGCGTGCCAGCCACCTGATGAAGGATCGGGTT